GGTATGCACATAGGTTTTCTTTCTTTTTCTACAAAAGCGAAATGCTGATTCATTGCATTCAGTACCTCAGTAATGGACTATTCTGATCTTTTCACTAGAGGCAGTTCATGAGGCTCTATCATTTGTTGAAGGTAACACTTTAGTCTCAAAGATTAAAATGAAGATTTTTTTCATCATTGAACGATGTCGCACTTAATCAGAGTAAACTTCTGATAGTTTTTTGCGTCATCCATGGAGTCAACTCATAGAATTCATTGTTATCTAAATATTCGATGAGACACAAACGATTGAGCCTTGCCCGCACTTTTCTGCTCGATGCAATCAATCAAAATGATAGCATACTGAAAATACTACAAAATCTCTTTCGCACGGTAAGCGTTTATTTAGTGTTTTCGATTGCGTTTTTTCCCGTTTTGAAAATGGCTGAAATCTTGACTTTAAACATTACATTTTCGGTAGCGAATAGTCCATCTCCGAACGAAATATCAACAAAACAATTTAACAAATGTATGAGATATCAGTCCAATAGGCATCATCATACAGTTACACGTAATTCGTTAAAGTCCCCATACGATATCTTTCAAAAGAAAATGAAATGCATGAATCTTTCTTGTTAGCAAATACATTTGCGTAACCATCCTTGTTTGAGATTGTGATGTGTGTATCTGGTGTATTCTACTCAACTAGTTCTTTTTCTATTTATTTAAATAAAGTGAGTTAGTCCAGATTTACGCACACAACATTCATATTAGATGGGATAAAGAGAGTTCATTTATCTAACTCAATCATATCTCCTCCAAAAAATAAAAAGAACGCACGAGAACCAAACCGACATTCAGTAATATCCACGCGAAAGTGCAGCGTACAACGTCAAAAATGCAGCAGCAGCAGCAGACCGTCTCCACTACATATATTTCACATGGTTTGTCCCTAAAACTACTCTAGTAAGTTACAGAAGTACTTTGATTATCAAATCTATCGTCATCATTAAATATGAATCTCAAAAAGACTTTCTTAGCCTTATCGTTCGATCCTCTATTCATTTTTCAAAATATCTTGACAATGAGGTAATGCGGCTAAGAAAAACTGCAAATAGCATTTTTCGTCTTTTTTTCTATATTGAATTACGAAACTAATCAAATCAGATGGACAATAATAGCCTCCATATCGTGCTGAAAACGATTTATTTCCACAATTCTCTCTATTGAATATTATTTTTTACTTCTATTTAACAGAAGCTACTACTCTACCAACAGCTCGATTAAAAGTAGATGGTCAAATTAGGTTTCATGTTGTTGTTAAACCAACTGTTCTACAAGTTCAACGTGGCCAACAAGTTGAATTAACTTGTATTGTTTATGGTGGTAATTTAAATACAAGTATTGTTTGGACTCAAGACAAACCTAAACGAGTAAAATATTTTAAATAACTCTCGAAATTAATTTATTTCTGAACTTATGTTTAGCGTTATGCTCTAACAGACCGAGCTAGTAAAAATGATAAAGAAATAACAGCTTCACAAATAACATTAAGATCACGTATTACACTTGATGATCCAAGTAAAATTGGTCAATATACATGCACAGCTCTAGATGATGCTGGGAATGCTCATTCAGCTGTTTTAACTATGCAAAAAAGTGGTAGTTATGTCCCACGACCAAAACATCTTAGTGGAGTTTTGCGTAAACGTATAACAAATCATCGTAAGTTTGAGTCTTGTTATAATTTTCTTTTGCGTTTTTTAATTTACTTAGTCTAAGATGAAATCAGTGGAAATTTTTCTTTTTGATATATTTAAAAGGTAGATGTGTCGTTAAATGGATATAAAAGATGATAATAATGAGCCCAAAGTAGCCATATCTCGCATTGTTAATCTAAAATTTGGAGAAAACCAATGAATAGAAAAGCTGAATTCGTTCTGAAATTTTAGGTAATGATATATGTCAGCCAAATGAAATTTCTTGTTCAAATCGTATTCAAGGAAGAAAATGTGTTGAGAAGTATTGGATGTGTGACGGTGATCGGTGAGAAATATTTAATAAAACAAGAGAAACTTACATCTAATTGAATAAATTTTAGTGATTGTGACGATGGAAGTGATGAGGAACAACGTTATTGTGGTATCTTAAAGAAAGATTTTTTTGAGATTTATTACAATAAATTATTTTCTTTAGACTTACTCCCTCAGCATCGTTATTATAAAACGAGTGAATTTCAATGTGTTGGTGCTAATGATACCTATGGAAATCCAGTATGTGTCCGACGATCACTTCAATGCGATGGTTACAATGATTGTTCTGATCATTCGGATGAAGTTGGTTGTGGTAAGTTCAATAGAAATACTCATTATTATTATATTATAATTTCCTTTAAAGTTAAACCAACTATTATATCTATCTCACACCGTCAAATTCGAATCAATACTAGAGACACATTAATTATTCAATGTACTGCTCGTGGTACACCAACACCATATATTAATTGGCGTCTCAATTGGGGACATATTTGTGGTGATGGTTCTGATAATGGACGATGTACAATGGAACAATCTATAGATACACATGATCCGTCGCTTGTTACTGGTACACTTACAGTTCGTAGTATAAATGCAAATGATGATGGTACCTATTCTTGTGAAGCGCGTAATAGTCAAGGCTTTATTTTTGCTATACCTGATACTTTAATCACTGTTACTGGTTTGTAGTTTTTAAAATAAAAAGAAAATTTATATACATTTGTTACTATTTTTTCATAGAATGGGATAACAAACCGTCAAGTTCCACAGGATGTAATTGTCATGGTCATTCATCGTATTGTACACCGGATGGACGATGTCAAGTATGTGGTACACATGTATATAATTGTATAATCATGACTCTTTTTTAGAATTGTCAACATGATACTGTTGGTTATTACTGTGAATATTGCAATACAGGTTATCGAGGAGATGCACGACTTGGAACACCACACGATTGTCAGTTGCTTCTAGCTGTTTCTAATCAAAGTTTGTATTCTGATTGAGTGATGTCATAATCCTATTACACTCGGTATTCAGAATTGTATTCCAATTGTCCTACGGTATCCACCTTATTCATATCCACTTGACTCATATTAGATCAAGGGCCATGACATTCATAATTGAAATAGATATCTATATGTCCTGCAAGTTGAGGAATTTGAGTTGTTTCGATGTATTACCCCAAAGATAGTGACACTCATTATCAGCTCAAATTCCTCAACTTTTAGTATATAGTTCAGTTACAGAATAACGAGGTGGCTACACCAGATCAACTAAAATTCCTCAAATTTTAAAGTGTGTGATCTATTTATGGGATGACGAAGTCATTGCTCCCTAGGGTAAGATGTGTTATGTGAAAATGAATTCACTTTCGTTGATTACTCTGTAGGATATCGTGACGTTTGGCTCTTGATATCCAGTGTAATGGTGTAATAGTATTATGACATCTACGCTCAGATTCGGATTTGAACGCAAAAAATATAATATCTTAATATTTTTATTTTTAAGAAAACAATGATTAGAGAAGTATCAGACACGTTTTCGTCACATGAAAAACAATTTGATTGGCTTATTTAACATATACCAGAACATTTTGTGATTAGTTGCATGAAATTGTTTTCTGTCACAACTTTTATTGAAATAAAGATATGACATCATCGATTATGATAGAAAATCTAAGAAGAACGAGCATCATAGTTTGAGAGCAAAGTGTGTGGATGTGGGTGGGTGTGGATATGACTGTTGGTATGGTTATAACGCGCATTCCACTTACACCTATACATCCACTCAATTACACTCGTACACACCCACTATCAAGATGTTTATACTACAGTCAATGTTCTTAATAAGAACAATCTGTAAAGAATATATAGAAAATAAAGAATATTAGCTAAATAACAGTTTTATATATTTAAACTAAACTTATTTATTTGTGACTGTATCAAGAAATGTTCCTTGATTCATCGCATATTAATATTCATCGGTTTATAGCAAGAGAAGTATGAATATTATATAAGAGACGTGAATGAGATACTTAACAGTTCTATTGAATATTATACTTAATAAATTTTTGATAGTTCACCTATCATTTTGCTCTAACTGAAGCAATGATTACTAATGTTATGTGTACAGCCCGACTTTTTCATAAGTATTTCTCGCTTACATAAATAGCTACCGAAATATTTTATTCAAAGTTGCAAACAAATATATACTTAGCGATAGAGAAATAAAAAAGAGTATTGGTCAGCAAAAAATAAATAAATTTAGATTGAATATATATCAAAGGGATTGCAGAATTAGAAAAATCAGTGTTGTTTTGCAACTGAGTATCATTTATTGATTTATTTGCAATAATGAAAAATTTTGCAAACACTAATTTGATGCAAAGTTTTATAAATAACTTTCATTTGTAATTAACACAAAGAAATGCTTCACAAAATAGAGTTACTAATTAAAAAATGCTTCTGTCGTGTACAAGAAACTTTTTGAAGAAGAATACAATGACAAAAATCAAACAAAATGATTACGTAATAAATAACAAACTAATTATTTTTGAATAGTTCAGAAACAAAAATATGAATCTAACGGTGGAAGGATAAATGTTTGATCAAAAATGACGTGTCTGATAAAAAAGTACAAAATAATATGTATTGAAGTAAATATATATTTCAATATGACCATAGTTGTATATTATTATAAAATAATATGCATCGACGAAAATGTATAATCGATATGAGTATATTTTTATATTATTATAATACTAGTTGAATGTTATTGTTGAGTGTAAAGAAGCAATGGAATATCATTTTCGTTCGAAGCTATATTGTCAGAAGATAATGTTAACATAGTAGTAATAGCACATGTTGCTTGTGACAAAGTAATCCGATCACTCGTTTGTTTCGATAACTTACGTCTTTTTGAGTTTGATGTTGTTCATAAATCAATTTAATTATACAGTATCAATGTTTATATCTGAACGTATACATCAACGCTGTATGACTTTCATAAATTATTATAAAACACTCAATGAATATCGTTGGCTTATCTATATATTTGCATATCTTGAGGGTGTGGGTGTGGGTGTGGGTGTGGGTGTGGGTGTGGGGTGTGGGTGTGGGTGTGCGTGTGGGTATGGGTGTGGGTGTGGGTGGGTGGGTGTGAGGGTGTGGGCGAGAAAAGAATACTCAGACACACCCACACCCAACTCTTTTTCATGTGATCTTTCCTACAATTACGAAAAGATTCATTTTTACGACTTGATGCGATCAGAATCATGCTATTTTTATTCACTTAAGAGTAAGTGTTAGATGGAACATCAATACTAAGATATTAGGTTGGTAAAAAGTTTTTTTCGTTTTTTTCAGAATCGGCTAAAATAGTCGAGAAAGTTCTAGAAAGTTTCGTATCAAGGGTGTGGGTGAGTCCCTACTTCTTTTGCACCCACACCCACGACCGACATGGAAACCGTGGGATTGCGACTTCCATGGTGGAGTTCAAGAAAAACATGCGTGCACTAAATAGAAAGAGTAGCACATGTTGAACTGTACTCACCGTTCTATTGCAATGAAGATCGAATGAAATTTCGAGCTTATATATCTATACGGCAAATTTACACTAGTTGTGTGAGAGCTGCGTCGACTTTGAAGAGCGCACATAAACAAATGCGCTGAGAGAAACCCCAGTTAAAGAGCAGAAATGGAAAAAAATAATGTCTCAAGAGCACGCATAAACAAACACACTGAAAAAAATCCAATTACAGAGCAGAAATGGAAGAAAATGATGGCTCAAGAGCGCGCACAAATAAACACACTGAGAAAAAACCCCAGTTGCAGAGCAGAAATCAAGGGGGAACAAACTGATTTCCATACTAGAAATCAAGTAGAAATCACGGGAAATCAAAAAGAAATCAAAAAGAAATCAACAGAAATCAAAAGGTTGTGAGTGTAAGTTTGGGTGGGTGTAGAGTGTGGGTGGGTGTCAGATGAATACAGTATCTACAGGGATACGGACACCCACCCGGTCACACCCACACTCACCCACATCCACACGCATACGCACACCCACACATATCCCCAATTGATTTCCATGCTAGAAATCACAAGAAATCAACAGAAATCATGAGAAATCATGGGAAATCACGAAAATGAAATTAGAAATCAAGAAATCAAGAAATCAGTTTGTTCCCCCTTGGCAGAAATGGAAAAAAAATACCTTACCGGTGTGCATGGGCATAAGGCTGGTAGCAGGTGTGACAGACACTCATTCGACACCCACCCAGACCTAGACCCACACCCTCTCACCTTCTATCAGCTTTAGTTTTCTTCTAAAAGACCACTATATGTGATAAAAAATGGTATGTGGACGAGTATGTTTTTTTTATACATCATTCTCGTTGTTATCAATACCATAAAGTAGGCTCTAGTTGGTAGTAAAACAGTTCTTTATCATTAATCTTGTTATAAACCCCATTTTCTATTTGTCTACATATAAATAAAAGCTTTCTTCAGTCGTAAACGTTTCTTTATTCTATAATGGTAAAGATGTTGAGGGTGTGGATGTGAGTGAGTGTGTGTGAGTCTGTGTCGATGTGGGTATATGAAAGGGTATAGGTGTGGGTGGCTATCTGTTCTGCATTCCTACTCAGATCCATACCATCAACCACACAAAGTAGAATCACCTGAAGCCATCAGAACTAATCGAAATCACTGATGTCTTATGGAATCAGTCGGAAGCATTCGCATCCATGCTTTATTCTATTTGTTCCTCTACATTTTAATGATGGGACATAGATCTGAAAGAAGATAACATGATGTTCTGGGGACTACGTGACAGAAGACTCACTCTAACATATTGATCGGTTTATAGAGCATTGTAGTTTATCTGCAAAAATGATGAAGAAGTTTTATATAAGATGCGATCGGTAATTCATGTACAACGCTTTACAGGACGGTGTATTCCTCCTATTTTGCGAACAAAAACATAATCCTCCGCAGATCATCAAGGATTAGTAATCATAATCGGTTTCGAATTGAACTATGCCATCTGATAAATTCCTTAAGTAACGTCGAAAGTGGCCATGATTGCTTATAATGAGGGGTGTGATTGTGGCATCTTCGGGGTGTCAGTGCAATTTCTAACTCATATCCGCACCCACAGCCACACCCGCACTCTCACGAAATCCTTCTCTTACAAGGCTTCGGGTCTTTCAAAGAAGTGAAACCTAGAAATTACTTATATACCAATGTAAAGTAGGCATGTCGGGATCTGTACCCCACGGAACCACTCCCCTCCTAAAAGGCTCGCTAATTTGTCTTTAATTTCGTCGGCTGAAACGAGTACAAAAAACTAGGGTGTGGGTGGGGTGGGTGTGGGTGAGGGTGTGGACGTGGTTTTCTATCTGCAGTTAACTCACTCCCACACCCACACCAAAATTGGACGAATAGTGAATGTAGAAATCTCGCACGAGTCGCGCATGCATCGTCACTGGTGTTGAATGGAATAGGATTGTGTGAGGGAAAAAGCCAAATGACTCATCAGGGAAAAATGAATATTCATCGCTTGATTTTTTTCTTTCTACGGAAAAACCCAAACAAAGAACAAATAAAAATTTTTGTGAGTGCTATAAATATGGAGAAATATCAGTTGTACATTTACTTTGTGAAATAAATATTTTCTATAACGATTGGTAAGTAATTTTATATTGTTTTTTTCAGCATATCAATCGTAATATTTGCAAAGGAGATGTCAGCAGAACAAACTATAAACGTACCACTAGTGGCGCGTGCTTTGAATATGGCAACTTCAAGCAAAAATGTGCTTTTATTACACATTAAAAATGGAGATGATCTTATCGGTGATTTGAGTATAGATGGTGTTTTGTCGGTTAGGAAACTTCGTACAAAACTTGAAAAGCTCTATTCTATTTCTGATACTCTGCAATTTTTACAATCCGATGGTTGTCCGATTGATCAATCCTGTGAATCAAAAATGCAAATAAATCAACTGTTAACAGATTCGAGTAACATTATCTACATGAAAGATAATAAAAACCAATCAACTAAATCTCCAGGTATATTACAATAAATCATACGATATAAGAAATGCTCATAACTAATCAGCGCTGTGAAACTGAAAGTTCTTGAAACTAAGAGAAACCCATTCTAATTGACCGATTTTTCATGCTCAAAAGCAAGAAAGATCGACATTAATTGTGACTAACTTGAATTCATGTGTTCACCTTCGCAAATATTTCTAACTTTCATTTTTAGAAGAACAAGGATTCACTGTGCCCATCAAATACTCTGAATTCTGTAAAGGACGTACCTGTGCTAAGTGCGACAAATGCCGTGATTGGTACTTTACTGGTGATTCGGCAATCTTAAAATGGATGCAGAGAGTGGATAATTGGAATAGCACAGATTGGCAACGTTGGCATGATGGAAAATTTTGGGAAAAGTTCGATCTCCGTATTGGGCACAAATGTACTTATCAATTTACTTATACTTTTTCTTATGATACTCTGGTTCGTCGTGGTTATCATGATAATAATGATTGTAAAAATGCTGAAAATGGTCATTTTGGTACCAATCGTGTGGGTTGTTATTCTTTTCGTCGTAGTGATGGGCGTTCTCAGTTTTCTTTTGATTTTGCTTATTCTGCTGTTGAGGGTCGTGAGACTGTTTTTGATATTCGTTCTTTTTGTATTTGTGTCAATAATTGTCAAGATTAACTTTTTTTCAAGATACGATTCAATTTATTAATAAAACTATTGCTATCCACATTTCAATCAAAGACAAAAACGGAGCCGATATTTCATTTCCGAATCCATCTCCTCGTTTTTTTTAAATCATGTTGTTCAGTTATAGCTACACTTTATTTTATTATATGTTATAATAATTGCTTAGAGAGTACATTGATCTATCCTAGTTTCACTCCTGATCATTCTTGAAAGATTCCTGCCAGGTATCAAACGGATCCTGATTCCATAGGGTCCTTTTAAGTTTAAATCGAGGGTGAGTTTCCATAGGTAATTCCGAGCTACTTACGACGCGTTTCGTCCTTGTTTAAGGGTGTGAATGTGGGCGTGAGTGCGAGTGTGGGAACAGAAGGAAGCCACATTCTAACCCACACACAGATCCGCCCACACCCTCAGTTGACTGCAGATATGTTGATTTTCGATCTGACGACAGTCCATTGATTCTGTCTGATGAAATAATGTGCAAACAATCAACAACTATAATCTGTGTCAAAAATTAGTCACTAGATAAATGGAAGTTATCGTAGTCACATGGTCAGTTGTCTTTATTATATAGATAGATAATGTAGCTAACAAGAGCATATTTTTCTTTCATTTGTATTTTCAATGAAAATTTTTCTGTTTTTGATTTCAATAATATTGTAATTATTATTTTGAAAATATTCAATGAATGTTTTAAGATTTATAAAATATTTTGCTTTTCATATTTAATAGTTATAATGATGAAACAGATAACTAAAATTCCAATAAATCCAACAGTCGAGATTTTGTACCAGTGTTCTTCATTGTGTGTGTTGCATTCGTTTTTATTTTTTTTTGCACTTATTAATGTGTCATACAAGCAGTATCAAAGAAGAAAAATTACCAATAAATCTCATAGAGAAATATTTAATAAACACGCACGTTATTTTCCAGTGTCAACTGCTAATGAATTTAATTTAAATTAGATTTATAATTATTTTGATATTTTTTCTATTTATTTAAAAAAGATTTTCAATTTTGATGATTTTCGCACATTGTATATCATCTGATATAGTAATGAAACAACAAATAATAAACAATAAAAATAATAATAAAGAAGAATGAATTAATAATAGTGATTGTATTTGAGAGTGAGTAAGAAATCATAGTAGAGACACTAATATTTTAAAGATATGCGTAGTTGATCGAATCAAGAAAAAGCTTTAGAATTTTCTTGACGTTTCTTCTTTCGTATATTTAAGATAATCAAATAATTATGCAGTTCGTTGGTTAACATATTTGGATAGAAAGTAATTTTTAATTAATACACGAACACAGCGAAACAAGACCAGAGTCAAAAATGTACCCGTAGTGATAATGCCAAAATACTCTTTGCTGAATGAAGGCAAAATACAGACGAGACGGAGAACAACTGCTAATATTAAACAGTGTAAAACTAGATAAAAAAGTACCTGATATACCATCCGAAATTCTGCGCTTGGAACAAATTCGAGCCACGTGATATTGAAAGTTAAAGTTATTAATATATTTAAAGATGAAATAATCAAATATACAGAGAGATGCATACCCATGAATAGCGGCGATCCTATGCCTTCACATTGTGAAATAATGTATATTGCTTCATTCCAAGCACATTTCCATTGCGAGAGAGAAAGAAGCGTCCAGTATGATTTAACCGACTGTAAAACAATGAGAAAAATGAACGTAAGTTTTATTATATTGAAAACAATTACCTTCGGTCCAATCCACCAGTGGACATTGTACGATGCAGTCCGTTCAAGCGAATGAAAAACTCGACAAGTAAAGTTATCATCTGTAAGTCGGCGTGTCATTTGAGTGATTAATTGCCGATGGTCATAGATGATTGTCTGTACGAATGGCGAAGTTTGATGAATGAAACATAAGTTTTCTAAATGTTGAAATTTTTCAATAATAAAAACCATATGTTCTATTAAGATGCCATGTAGATTCTTTATTATGAGATATTTGACACATGGAAATAAACGTAATAAGATTTTGATTATATCTTTAGGATTTGTTTTTTCATCATAATGAAAATAAATATCAAGTTTGTAAATTTGTTTGAACTGATAATCTTTAATCTTTTTGAATGTATTCATTGATATACGATATATTTTGAACTCATTAATGTACGAGAATGTATGTTCTAATGAAATGTACTCTAGTAATTGCTTATCCCTACGAATATCTAAATATTGTTTTTTGTTCAGTTTATAGACAGAATCACGTACAGAACACAAACACATGTTCCAATAAGTCACAAACCAACGTTTTTCTTTAAGCCAAAATAATGTCTGAAATGATTGAAGTGTTTCATTAACTGAACTTAATTTTACATGAAATTTGAAAGTAAATGTAATAAAATCACCCGTCAACATTTGCCATCGGTGTCCATTAGCAAGATCATTATCTCCTTTTAATTCTAATTTAAGATGTTTGAGATAAGGTAGATTTAGTAAAAAAGATTCCATTTCATCCATGGAAATTGGAGCGTCTATAAAATATGAAACAAAATAGATGTTTTTCATCATTTTGAAAATTCTTACTCGTTATTTTTAGATTGAGTTTTGTAAGAGATGGCGAAGATATTGAGGATATATTCAAATTTGGTGTTTCAAGTTTGAAACATATATTCAATGACTGAAGTTTCGGTGCATTTTTAAATATCGCTTTTAGATCATCTAATGAACATTTGTCAAGTTTTAAATGATAAACAACTGGAAGTGGTATTGAATGAAGAACATTACCATTATGTAAATATAGATATGTGATCTGAGGTAATACGCGCAAATAAGTATTAGATAAAATTAAATTTATTTGATCGAACATATTTAAATAAGAGTCAGTTCTTGTTGGGTATTTTTGTCTAATTGAATCAACATTAAATGAAAATGAACGTAATTGTTTGAGCTGATGTAAATATGAAAAGATCGAATCCATTGATTCATATTCAATTTCAATCAGTTTTAATGAACGAAGGTGTATGAATTGTTCAATTTGAAATCGA